CAGCCACAAATATGTATGTGGTGGGCCCTGTTCCAGATGCAGGTATGAGCAGTGAATGCAGCAAACTCCCTGAGCTTGAGCTTGCGAACCTGATATTAGGTCCAGAGAGACAGTAAACATAAATAAATAAATAAACAAACTGTAAGTCTTGACAACTGTTCAAAAGAAATATAAAGAAGGATAAGGCAATACGTGGAGGAGCGGTGGCCTCGAGGGTCTGACTAACAAGCTTTCAAGTTAGAATCTGAAAGAAAGAAGACAGGGAGCCATGTGAATATCCAGGCAACAGCATTCCAGGCAGAGGGAAGAGCAAGGGAAAAACTCAAAGCCTCAAAACCCTTTGAGCTGGAGATCTTGCACCCTGGGAGAGGGGCATTGGAATCCTCAACAGGGGGCTTTCTCCAAAAAGTCCTCCCCTCACCTGCCCCCAACAACCTTCTGTTGGGAAACCCAGGCCCCATATCCAGGTACTATTGCTACTGAAGAAATGTTCCATCTCACCTGTTCTTGGGGCAGTGAAACTAAGATGACACATTAGGTTGATTCCCAAGTATCTTTTTTTTGTTTTTGAGGTTATTGCAAATGAGGTAGTTTTTCCTCATTTCCTTCTCAGAGGATTTGTCACTGATATACAGAAATGCCTTTGATTTATGGGTGTTGATTTTATATCCTGCTACTTTGCTGAATTCATTTACTAGCTCTAGAAGTTTTCTGGCAGAGCTTTTTGAGTCTTCTAGGTATAGAATCATATCGTCAGCAAATAGTGCTAATTCAAGTTCTTCTTTTTCTATCTGTATCCCTTTAATTTCTTTTGTCTGTCTAATTGCTCTGGCCAGTGTTTCAAGAACTATGTTGAATAGAAGTGATAAAAGAGGGCATCCCTGTCTTGTTCCAGTTTTTAGAGGGAATGCCTTTAATTTTTCTCCATTTAGAATGATGTTGGCCTGAGGCTTAGCGTAGATAGCCTTTACGATGTTGAGATATGTTCCTGTTATTCCTAGTTTTACTAGTGTTTTGAACATGAAAGGGTGCTGCATTTTGTCAAATGCTTTTTCTGCATCTATTGAGATGATCATATGATTCTTATCTTTGAGTCTATTGATGTGATGAATTACATTTATTGATTTCCGTATCTTGAACCAACCTTGCATCCCTGGGATCAATCCCACTTGATCATGGTGCACAATCTTTAAAAACTGTGGCATATATACACAATAGAATTTTACTCAGCAATAAAAGAGGATAAAATCATGGCATTTGAAGGTAAATGGATGGCGTTGGAGAAGATAATGCTAAGTGAAGTTAGCCAATCCAGAAAAAAAAAATGCTGAATGTTTTCTCTGATGTAAGGAGGCTGATTTATAGTGGGGTAGGGAGGGGGAGCATGGGAGGAATAGACAAACTCTAGATAGGGCAGAAGGGTGGGAGGGGAAGGGAGCAGGCAGGGGCTTAGCAAGGATGGTGGAATGTGATAGACACCATTACCCAAAGTACATGAATGAATACATGAATTGGTGTGAATATGCTGTGTTTACAATGAGAGATATGAAAAATTGTGTTATATATGTGTAATAAGAATTGTAATGCATTCTGCTGTCACTTATTTTTTTTAAAAAATCAATTAAAAAAAAAAAAGATGACACATAAGGACACCATGATCTCCAGGAGGCTGCAGCTGAGCAGCAGACAAGGAAACACTGCACAGTGTCACAGGGAAAACCGAGGACACACAGGACCAATTCTTCCTGTGCAATGTCGAGGGACCTTAAGAGATGAGAGGTCCACTTGGGGGGCAGGACTCAGGGACACTCCAGGCAGAGAACCCAAATGAACAGAGGCACTGATATTAGAGCAGCAGGGAGGCCTGGAAATCATTCTACCTGACAGGCAGGTGGCCAGCAAGCCAGCGGTGGGTCAAGAGAGGTCAAGGTCAGCAGAAGTCCATGTCATAGAAGGCCTTGTGTGCTCAGGAAGGCATGTGGGGGTTTATCTGCCATGAAGACATTGCTGAGCAGTAGGAGAGAAAGCGGCCAGACCAGGATAGAGAGGGGGCAGAAGGAGGAGGAGTCGTGGCAGGCAGCAGATGACTGAAGATGGGGGAAGGAGCCAGGGCTATGGCTGTGTCCATGGGGACAAGATGCACACAGCCGGCATTCAGGGTAGAAAGGCCTGGACCTGAAAAACCTGAAGGAACTGAGTCCAAAAAGACCCCTGGTTGTGGTTTGGGCAAATGGGTACCATTGGCTAAGGCAGGAACGTGTGAGTTACAGCATGTTCAAAGGGAGAAGTTCAGTTTCAAACCGCATGAGTTCAAGGTCAGACAGAGTCAAACCTGATGAGTTCAAGGTCAGACAGAGCCAAGCCCTGGTATGCCACCCACAGCTGCGACCACATACAGCAGCTCTATGAACACAAACAGAATAGCATGGACAACAGGACAGTGCAGGTGGACAATGTCTTCCAGGGCCCAAGCCTCTAGTAAGACTTCCTGAGCCCATGCTTTGTCCAGGCCACAGCAGACCCTTCCTTACAGGGAGTCCTTTAATCCTGAAGACGATTCTTCAGGGTAGTTTTCATTGTCTTGATTCTGCAGAAACGGAAACCGAAACTCATGGTGTCTTAGGAACTTGAGTAAATAAATAGAGTTGGTGAGAACCTGTCTGCCATAGACCTACTCCCTCCCACTCCCCAATGGCTGACTCTTGGGGGGGTGCAGATGGAAACTAGTACTTTGGGAAGGTTGATGACTTTGATCTCAGGAAACAGCCTGGCCTTGCCCAGGACATCCAGTGCCAAGCTTAACAAATATCTGTGGAATTACCATCCTTCGTTCCTTTGTGCAAGGCTCAATCCAGGCTGGGGAGGCTACGGGGCCAAGGCAGTGTGACATTGATGACATTATTCCTATGACACAGAATGGACACATCCCTCTCCTGTGTTCCTGTGGGCAAGGGCCATGCCGTGTGTGCACACCAGTTTCCTCTGGCTGTGCACGGTCACCCAGACACTCACAATCAGGCTGCCAGGAGGATGGTGGAGAGGGTTGGGCCTTAGAGCTCATGGACTGTGGAACCCGAATGACCCCATCTGAGGCCCACAGCTCCCGACAAACTTGCTCTGAGCCAAGCAGCAGCTGGACAGGCAGCAACAGGTGTAGGCAGCACTACGGTGTCCGTGGCTGGCATCCCAGCCTGTGGACACAGAAACTATTTTGGGTCCTGTTTTCCCTCCCCTCAACCTGACTTCTGTCTGTCCCCCTAGAGTTTTTAGCAATCTGAAAGTTTACATGCTGACTTGACTTTCCTCTTCTCCCTCACCCCCACCCCTCCATGGTGTGCTTTACTGTCAGAAGCCTGTCCTGAGACAGGGAGAGACTGGTCACCCACTCCAAGGAGACCCCGCCCACTCTCAACAGGGAGGATTCCAGACCCCCCTTTGCAGTTCCTGGGCATGAATTGGGTTGCCCAGCACCTCTGCCTGATGCCAAGCCATCTTCAGCAACAGACCCTTCAGCAGAATGGCACCGATTTGCCTTCTAGTCCCCATTCTATCTTTTCTGGAAGATGGAGAAAGCTGTGAGGTTACACATTAAGGGAAGGGGTTAGCGGTAGGTCAAGGAGACAGGTCTGTTCATATATGCCTCTGTTTACCCTTCTTCCTGGAAGGAGAAATTATGGTTTCGGGAAAATTCTCTCAATAACCTGTTTGGAGATTTCTGCAGTCACAACTACATTAATGAGTCATTTTAGAGATCTTTTCCCTTGCCTCCCACATCTATCCAACTGGAAATAGAAATGGATGATCTTTCAAGTTATGAATGGAGTGGCCAGTTCCCCAGTCTGGCTCTGCCAGGGTCAAGGAACCATGAGTCCATAATATGAGTTAGGCCTTCATGGTGAACTGCTCCCCAGAGTGCTTTCAAGGGTTGAATGGGGGTTGGCCTCTGGAACATGGAGCCCTGTACTGGTCAGCTCCATGGGGCACCTGTCACTGTCACCTCCTGGAGCTGTGCAGTTCTGCACCTGGACCAGGCAGCAGGCCAGGTTGACACTGCTTAGAGACGGGGCTTCTTTGGGGAGACGTGGGGACCAAAGCTCTTAGAAGCCACCAAACCAGGGTTCAGATGGTTGCAAGGAGAGCAGTTTCAGCCTGGAGCCCTGACAGAAGGGACCTGCTTTCTCAGTTAGAAATAGCTCTTGCCCGAGCCCAGAGGAGGGGAAGGGTGACCTAGCCAAGCCTAGGGTGACCCAGAGGATCAGGCTACAGGGACAGAGACCAGAAGAGTCAGCATGGCCTCCTGTGGGGTGCATCTGAGCTGAAACCTGAGCCTCTTACCTGCAGGGTCTCCCCCATGCACAGAGTACCCCACATTTGGATCACCTTGCCTAATCATGGCTGCCTGCAGACAGCTCAGGTTAGGTGGGCCGGGTGAGCAGGGAAGTCACAGGAAAATGAGCTAAAGGGCGACACCCTGAACAAAAATGGGGAGCAACTCTGGAGTTCTGAGAAGTCCACCTCCTCCTACCATCCGCCCACTGGATGTGAGAGAGGGCTGCCCAAATGAAACCACCTGGGGACTCTCGTCTTGGGGGCTGGCCCAGATTATTCCAGTTCTAGGCCCCGGAAGTAGAGTCACCGGGGGAAAAATGGACTAGAATCTTCCCACTTCATGGAGAGAAAGAATGAACAGAGAAGAAGGTGCATATGGTATTTTAGCTAGGGACCTTGCTGAGGAGACTCAATGAGGGAGAAAGAGAAATATGGAACATTAGAGGTGGCTCAACTTGCAGCTGGTGGCCAGGGAGGGCCTCGGTGAGGGGACAGGTTTTGAGTAAAGACTGCCAGAAGTGAGAGGGATGGCAACGTGGGGCTGTGTGGTGTGAGGGGCTGGGGTGGGGTCCCTGCAGAGGGAGCCAGTGTCCTGAGGCAGGGCGCTGAGGACCCGTGGGGCCAGAGGGGCTGGAGGGACAGGCGAGGCATGACCGCCTCTGCTCCCACAGGAGAAACTGGAGTATTTCTTCCTCATCGTCTTCTCCATTGAAGCTGCCATGAAGATCATCGCCTACGGCTTCCTGTTCCACCAGGATGCCTACCTGCGGAGCGGCTGGAACGTGCTGGACTTCATCATTGTCTTCCTGGGGTGAGGCCTGGCTCAGGGGGGACTGAAGTCACTCCTTGGCTGAGGACTCTGTGCCCACCGCTGACACCACTGGCCCCCGGGGATAGGGTGGAAGCCCAGTATCATACCAACTGCTGCCATGGGGTGGCTTCTGCTAAAGGCCAGAGCCCAGGGGTAGGTAGGTGTGGTGAAGAGAAAGGACTGCCCCCCACCACCCACCACCTGCCAGCAGGTCACCAACTGCTCCCCAGCTAGGCACAGTAAACTCTTCATCTCTTTCACACCATTCGACAGTAGAAACCATCTGTGAGGGCCCCCGGCGCCCGCAAGCCACGGGGGTTCATGTTTGTCTGCCTCTGTCACCTGTCCATTGATTCCACATACCTGCATTATCTGCCTGTCATTCAGGTTCACAAAAAGGGACATTTCGTAACCTGTAGTAGTTTGCTTGGGCTGCCATGACAAGTGCCTCAGGCTGGAAGCTTGATGGAGATTTCTTTTCTCACAGTTCTGAGGCTGGAAGCCCAAGGTCAATGCACCAGCAGGTGTGATTTCCCCTGAGGCCTCTCTTCGGGGCTTGCAGATGGCCGCCTTCTCCCTGCGTCCTCACACAGTCTTTCTGGGCACACGCACCCCTGGTGTGTCTTTGAGTGTCCAGATTTTCTTTTGTAAGGACACCGGTTGATTGGATTAGAGCCCACCCTAGTGACCTCATTTTAACTTAATCACCTTTTTGAAGGCCCTGACTCCAAAGTCAGTCCTATTATGAGGTACTGGAGGTTAGAGCTTCAACACAGGAATTATACTCAGCTCATAACATTACCTTTATTAACCACTACCTAATTATAACAGCAGCAGTTATTGAGCACTTTTTGTGCTTCGCATATAGCATCTTATTTAATTCTCCCACCCACCTCCCCCGCATTTTGTAGATAAGGAAACTAAGGCACAGAGAAGTTAAGCAACTTGCACAAGATCACATAGCTAGCTGGTGACATTGCCAGGATTCAACCAAAGAAATCTTGGCTCCATAGACTTCACCCTTAACCACTATGCTGCCCTTCGATTCCATAAATACCGTGTGGCTTATCTGCTAACCACCCAGTGCTGCTTTCGGCACAAGGAGGAAAACAGAATTCTGTGAATCAGCCTTGGCCCTCATGAGCTGTCCTGTCTGGGAGCTGAGACAAGGGCCTGCAGAATGACGTGTCCAAACAGGATGCCACAGGCGCGTCACGGCTTCACACGCGGTGTGTCCAGGGGTGCCTGTGTCAGGGGCAGGGTTTATAGAAAAGGAGGCTTGAAGGAGAGGAAATTGAAGTAAACTCAGAGAGAAGGAGGTGAGCAGGAAAGAAACAGCCCGGGGAAGAGCTTGCCCCGGGGTTTCCTGCTCTAGGTCACCATGGGGGAGGGGCCGATCAGCACAGCACCCTCTGACCCCCATGGTGTACTCAGTGGACACTGCGATTGTGGCTCAGGGCAGGGGCCGTGGCACACACCCCTCAAGAGCAGAAACAGACATCACGAATAGAGCACTGAGTCTGAACCTGGCCCCAGAATCCTTTTTAATGAATTCTCCAGGCGGCTCTTAACAAATCCCCAGTTAGCAGTAGATGATGGCATTTGCCATCTCCCCCCAGATACTCTGAACACGGATGAGACACAGACCATGGGGACGGTGGCCTACCTGACCCCTGGCCCCACCCCCACCCCTGTCCTCTGCGTTCCAGGGTCTTCACGGTGATCCTGGAGCAGGTCAACATCATCCAGAGCAACACGGCCCCCATGAGCAGCAAAGGCGCCGGCCTGGACGTCAAGGCCCTGCGAGCCTTCCGCGTGCTCAGACCCCTCCGGCTGGTGTCGGGGGTGCCCAGTGGGTGGCGGTGCCTCAGCAGACCCCCCCTCCTCTCCCAACCTCCTCTCCCCTGTCCCCTTTGACCTTGGCGTCCCAGAGGCTTCCCAGGGATCATAGAGAGGGAGGGTCCTGGGACCAAGCAGGGAGGTGACTCCCCTTCCCCGCTGCCCGCCCTGGCAGGCCTGCAGGTGGTGCTCAACTCCATCTTCAAGGCCATGCTCCCCCTGTTCCACATCGCCCTGCTCGTCCTCTTCATGGTCATCATCTACGCCATCATCGGCCTGGAGCTCTTCAAGGGCAAGATGCACAAGACCTGCTACTTCATCGGGACGGGTGAGCCCTGGGGGACCGTGGAGTGGGACGACTCAAAGTAGGGGGACACCAATGCTAGTGAAGAACTCCAGGGCAGGCCATTGCCTCCCACACCTGTTGGCCTGGGAAATGGGTTTCCCCTGGACAGGAGGAGTTGGAAGAAGGACAGCTCTGCCACCGTCAGTGAAAGGCAGTGACCCGCCCCACGCCTGGCGTCTTCCAGGCTTTGTGGGCCAGTCGTGGACTGAGGTGCAGGCTTGGGATGAGCCTGGATTTCTCTTCCACTTTCCCTGCAGCTGAAGTTTTTGCTTTCCCTTGAGATTCCGCAGAGCAGGGGCCCACAATGTGGACTCCGAAGGAGACCTCGAGAAAACACTCAGGACTCAAAGGGGTCATTTGTCCAGTTGCCAGACATAACCTACACTGAGGCCTAGTCACCCTTGAACAAAGTTTTCGAAACCAACATTCCTCCAGCTTCTTGGCTTCATTCAGGACCCCTTAAAACTCTTACAAAGTAAGGAGGACCCAGAGAGCTTTCAGTTATGTGAGTTTGATCTATCGATATTCATGACATCAGAAATGAAGACTGAGACAAATGATAGTAACTTGTTAATTCATTTTTAAAGGAAAGGAATAACCCTGTGAAATGAGATAATATATGGATGATATAGTTTTATGAAAAATAATTATATTCTTGTAAACCAAAAATATTTAGTGAGAAGAGTGGCACTGTTTTGCATTTTTTTTTTTTGCAACACTCTTTAATGCCTGACTGGACAAGAGTCTTCAGTGCACAACCCCACTCTGCATTTGTTGAATGAGAGACGAAGGGGACAGTGACATCTCAGCATTATTGCAAAAATAGTTCATAGTTTTCGTGAATTTGGAGGGCCTTATTTGTTTGATATTTGTGGAACCCAGGAAGCCTGTACCATTGAGCTATATCCCCAGGCTTTTGTTTGTTTGTTTTAATTTTTCCTTTGAAAATATTTTGGGGAAGGCGATGCCCTGAGAGGGTCTCTGGTCTCTCGTGCTGTGACTGGCTGCTCAACACTGGCAGCAGCTTGCTGGGACTTAGCCTCAGCCTTGGCTGGTCGTGGCCTGGACATTGCTTACACGGGAGCCTGTGGGGAATTGAACATGACAACAGAGAGGTGCCCTCTATCAGGACAAGCCCTGCCCCCAAACTTGGGCTTCTGACTCATCAGAATAGCACACCAGGACCTGCTGCATCTCAGGGGCTGGTCCCCACCTCCTCACATCCCTTGACAACAAGGGGACGATTGATGCTGGCATCGAACTCTAAGAAAGCTCTCAGTGGGCTCCTCTCTGGTCCTCTCCCATGCCAGCCTCTTCTCATGGCCATGACGGTCTGCAACCTAATCAGCCCTCTCAGACAGACAGACAGGAAGGGGCCATCTATCACAATCTTCAGTCCAAATATGGAGGTCTTAAAAGCCCCTGCCTGATTGGGGTTACTGATTTCGTGGGGTCAGGGGCCCTGCTCTGACCATCAAGGTCCTCGCTGTCCCATTGCAGGGCACTGAGCCCACTTGGTAACATGGGTAAGGTAGGGCTTTCTGCTTCCAGGGAGCTAAGTCAATCTCTGAACACAGGGAGACTGTAAAACACCCTAATGTGATCCAGAATGTCCTCCAACCCGCAGGATTTTAGAGACAATAAAAGCGCCATCCAGGGAGGGAAGAGAGTCCAGGCTGTGGCCTGTTGGCTGCTCCCTGGAGAGCAGACCCCTGCCCCACAGGTCAGATGTCTCAGCCCAGTGCTGTTGGAACATGCCCAATTTAGCCCCCAGATGGGTCTCTGAAGTCAGAACACGCAAGTCCCTGTCCCCAGCCCCATGCCCCACTCCAGCAGGGCAGCTCCCCCTCTTTGTGGGCAGTGGATACAAAGACCACTCCTGCTAGTCCTGCTTCATGAGTTGCACCTCTTTGGATGATTAATCCTAGAAGCAGACTCTCCAAAGAGGCCCTGGGGTCTAAGCACAGTCACTTCTGTCCATAGCCATCCACAGCCAGTCCTCAGCCTGGGCCATCCCTTCCTCTCCAGCATCTGCTCCGTGGGGGCCGTCCTCTGTATCTTCACCCCAGTGTGGTTTACACCTTTTGCTCTATTCCCTGAGCATCCTATCTCCTGTTACTGACCCCCTACTAGCATTGCCTGGCACTGACTCTGCCTTCTGCCTCCAGATATCGTGGCCACCGTGGAGAACGAGAAGCCATCACCCTGTGCCAGGACAGGCTCGGGGCGCCCATGCACCATCAATGGCAGTGAGTGCCGGGGTGGCTGGCCAGGGCCCAACCATGGCATCACCCACTTCGACAACTTTGGCTTCTCCATGCTCACGGTGTACCAGTGCATCACCATGGAGGGATGGACGGATGTCCTTTACTGGGTGGGTCTAAGCCTGTGCCTACTGCTGCTTTTGCCCATTTAACAGATAAGCAAACTGAGGCTTGGAAAGGGTACATATCTTGCCCATGGTTAGGAACCTGATGAGCCATAGAACCCAAGAACTGAACTCTAATCCTTCCGGCTCCACTCCAGCACTCTTAATCACAATGTGGCCTGGAGCAGGAACAATAGTAAAACTGTCAAATGCTTGACAAATATAAAGGATTAGTGTGAATGCTTCTTGTGAGCTCAGACTAGGAAGCAAATGATTGAACTTATCAAAGGAGTGTCACCCATGTGATTTCACCTCTGCTGCCAGCCTATGAGGACAGAGCACATACCACTATCCTCATCAAATTGATGGGATAGTTAATGCTCAGAGATGTTGCATGACTTGTCTGGGGTCACAGAGGTTATTCACTTTGAAAAATCTTGGTCATAAAGAAACCAACATCAGGGCACAGTGGTGCATACCTGTGATCCTAGCAACCAGGAGGCTGAGGCAGGAGGACTGCAAGTTCAAAGCCAGCCTCAGCTACTTAACAAGGCCCTAAGCAATTTAATGAGACCCAGTCTCCAAATAAAAAACAAAAAGGGCTGGGGATGAGGCTCAGTAATTAATCACTCCTGGTTCAATTCCTGGTACAAAACAAACAAACAACACCACCGGACATGGCATCCACAGAGCCTAGTCCAGAGGCACATGGGAGATACCTTGGTGAGGGAAAATGGGTAGATGGCCTAGGACAGGCAGACAAGCAAGGCCCCCTGCAGTGTGCAAGGAGAAAAGGTCTCCTTGTTGGGCCCAAATGGTGTCTCTCCTTGTGCCCAGGAGTGGCTAGATTCTGAGTGGACAGACCTGGGGAGAGCACTTAAATCCTCAGGGGTCAGAGGATGGGACTCACACCTTTGTCTGGACCAGGTCAACGATGCCATCGGGAACGAGTGGCCCTGGATCTATTTTGTCACCCTCATTCTGCTGGGATCCTTCTTCATCCTCAACCTGGTGCTGGGCGTCCTGAGTGGGTAAGGAGCCCAGAGGCAGCTGGGGCAGGGGTGGGGGAAGGAAGGAGCAGAGCAGGGCAGGGAGGTATGGCTAGCACCTGGGCTCATCCCTGGGTCCCCGTCAGTCCACTGGGCCAAGAGCACTCTTCCTGGTTAGCAAGGAAAAGATAAGAGATGGCAGCAGGACCCTTCAGGTTTTCATTTTCCTCCCCTTTTCTCCTCAAGCTTCTCGCATTCTTGCTTTCTTCTGTCCTTCTGCATTCACACTTCTGAACAAAGCCCCTTAGACCCCAGCCTCCTGCCCCAGGGTGTGCCTAGGAGGCAGTATGGCCCCTCGTTAACACAGACCGTTCATTTAAATTCTCACACTACTGCTTTGTCTAATTACCTAACCTCTATGTGCCTCAGTTTCTGCATCTGTCAAATAGGAATAATGTTAGTATCTGTTTCATAGGATTTATGAGGATTAAATGATCTAATACTTAGAGTCCAACACATATCACGCACTAAGTACTAACGGTCATTATTAATGAGGGCTATTCCCTCTGAGATAAACCTGCTGGGGTCCCTCCCCAGCCACAGTGAAGAGATTAGCAGTAGCCAATCACCCCACCCTAGAAGCTTCCCCCACCCCAGGCAGTCTGTAGATAGAATTCAAAGGGTCTGTGAAGTTGGTTAGGAGAAACTTATTTTTATTTTTTTATTATTCCAATTAATATTGAGTTTCTTTTAATGAAGAACATAGGTGACAGACCACAGTGTTATCAGCAGTGGCCGTCACTTGTCCTAACAGAAATCCCAAGTCACATTACAGTTGCTGTAAACAGTGATACTCATTACTACCTTGAAATTATGATAGTTATTTAATTGACATGTAGTTCTTCATAGTAATGAATTAATGAAGAACTACATGTATTCCTCTATCAGAATGTTTCGTACAAAAACTGTACTTTAATATAATTGGTCCCTTTGTAAACTGTGGTTTTAGTCCATGCATCTTGCATAAAATAATAGTACTAAGGAGGGATCAGCCTGCTTTGCTGCACCACTGAAGGTCAGAGACAGAGCCCCCGCCCGGATACCACCCTGACAGGGTGTGGTGACTGTCTTAAGAGCAGACTCCTCCTGGCCCCCGGGGCCCATCTCAGCAGCAGATCACTGCTGCTGTCTCTCTGGTCCATTCAAGGCTCTGCCCTCTGCTGCCTAGGGCTGCCCTCTGCTGGTCTGCAGATCCCTCCCTCAGGTCCTTTGCTTCCAGAACTGGTGCCTGCCTTTTTGGCCTGGGGAGTTTCCTCAAGGCCTTGGGTCTGTAAGTGGAAATAATTTCTAGGATACCTGAAAGGGTCAAGCAGTGTCCCCTTCATGCCAGCCACTCTGAGGATCCATGGCTGATCCATCAGGGCAATGCACTATCATGTCATTAACCCCCAACCTTCAAAGGTAACCCCAAAATAAGGTGGGAGAAAATGAAACGGAGTGGGAAAATAGATACGGGAGGCTGAGTGGTCCTCCAAGGTGTTCTGGAGGTAGGAAGGGGAAGGGAGAGAGGTGCTACCCTGAGCCACCTGGAGGGCCACCTCAGACCCCAGGCAACACCACAGCCAGAAAGGGGAACATCCAGGCACAGAGTGAGCCCGCTGTCTTCAGGAAGCTCAGGCTTCCCCTCTTTTCTCTTTCCTCCCCTCCTGCCTGCCCCGTCCCATTTCAGGGAATTCACCAAGGAGCGGGAGAAGGCCAAATCCAGGGGGACCTTTCAAAAGCTCCGGGAGAAGCAGCAGCTGGAAGAGGACCTCCGGGGCTACATGAGCTGGATCACGCAGGGCGAGGTCATGGACGTGGAGGACTTGAGAGAAGGTTTGGGCCCCAGGGCCGCAGTCAGACTCCTGTCCCTGCTACTGAGCCACACCCCACCATCCGCTCCCACAGAGCCGTGATGCCATTATATATCCCTGAAAGCCTGGCTGGCCCCCTGGGCAGGGACAGCATTGGCCCTGAGGGTGATGACTCGCCGAAGCCCCTGCACCCCAGGTGGTAGAATCCAGGGGTGCCCTGGGCTCTTCCCAAAGTGCTGTGGCCCACTCACAATGGCAGATGAGGGTTCTTGGGAATCTGAAATCTCAGGAAATCCCAGGAGGACCCAGGCTCACGATTGCACCGTCCTTCCCAGAGGTACCTAACTCCGCTGCGTCCTTTCTGTGGCTGACTTTCTGGATCTGTCCTATCCCTAGGGCGGCTGTCTTTGGATGGAGGTGGCTCTGACACCGAGAGCCTGTATGAGATAGAGGGCTTGAACAAGATCATCCAGTTCATGTGAGTACCTGACCATCTCCCAGCTTCTGGCCCTCTCACTGAGACACGGGGTCAGAGTCCAATTAGTTACCTTCCCCTCCAGTCACCATCCCAGCCCTTAGAAAGGCAGATTTGCAAGAAAACAGGCCCAGTTCTTGCTCTGAGGACTCGGCAGTGTCCTGCTGCTCAGGGAATGCACAGAGAAGGCCCTGAGCAGGTGACCTATTTATATACCATTTAAGGAAGAAGCAGGGAGCCCTTGGGGCAGCCAGCACATCTGGCTGCTGCTCTCTTAGGAGGTGGGCTTGGGTGAGGCTGCAAACCTCCACAAGGGAAAGGGGGACCCACAACATGGGCTTCCTAAGAATTGGCCCTGACCAAGCGTCTGGAGACAAGGCGACGCTCCAAGCTCTTGCCTTTGTCTTAAGGAGGGTTTGTTTGATTGGTAGGCTGTCTTTTACAAATGCACACATAGTCTTGATTTTTGAAAGATCAAACAATAGGGAAATACACTAAAGAAATGATGAAAGTCCCTACTGCCCTTCAAAGAGGTAACCATGGCAACAGTTAGCCAAGTAGCCCTCTAAGATCTTTTCTGTGCTTTCATCTCTATTACACACACACACACACACACACACACACACACACACACACACACACACGATTTTCTGCTTTTTTTTGTTTGCTACATAATGGAGTTATTTATGTTATAAGTGCTGTGTGGCCTACTCATAATGGCAGATGAGGGCTACTGTCACTATAATGACTAGAATAATGCCCAGCATATAGAAGATGTTGACAAACATTTGTTAAATAAATGAATACAATATGCATATCATCTCATGACATAATTTTTACTTAAAATTATCTATTTTTACTTAAAATTATCCATTTTTACACCTATGTATACATATAATCACAGATCTATGAACACACACATACACACACACACACACACACACACATACATACCTTTTTAAAAACATATCTTTGAATATAAACTATTCCTCAGTACAGTTGTACCAAAATGTATCTAATTACTCTTTGCTGTGTTGTGCAAAAGCATGACCATTTCTTCTGGGCAGAAGTCTAGAAATGGGATTTCTGGGTCAAAAGAAATATAGATTTTAAACTTTGGTAAATGGGGCCCTATTGCACACCAGAAAGGCCATACAAATGGTGAAAGTGACTTTTCCTGACCGTCCCAGACATTTTTAAGTTATTGGGACTACTCAGTGTTGCTTTAATTGAAATTAAAATGCATGCAACTCCTGTGTGAGGCACAGAGCTGAGTATTTTCCTCGCATCAGCTCATTTAATTGCCTCAGGGGTTGGCATCTTTATTATTCTCATTTGCAAGATGAAGAAGTTTGCAGTAAGAGGCCAGATTTTTCAATCATCCGGGCTCTGGAACTCATGCCCTGAGCTCTCTTGTGTAGCAAGAGGGGAGAGTGGGTGTTCTGACCAGGTGTGGCTGGAGTTCAGCTGAGTGTCACTGGAGAAAGGTGGACTCCAGCAAAGTAGCTCTTGGCCCCCATCTTCCTGTCCCCTCCCTCAGCCGGCACTGGAGGCAGTGGAATCGTGTCTTTCGCTGGAAGTGTCATGACCTTGTGAAATCCAAGGTCTTCTATTGGCTGGTGATCCTGATAGTGGCCCTCAACACCCTGTCCATTGCCTCAGAGCACCACAACCAGCCACTCTGGCTGACCCATTTGCAAGGTGAGTTGGAGGGAAGGAATTCGGGAAGGGAGCACATGGACTTGATGCTAAAACCTGCCAAGGGTATCATGGGGTTGACCAGAAGAGGTCAATTGGATGTTGACCTCACTTTCTAGGAATCATTGACTGCTGGGATTGATCATGCAATTCAACTCCCTCCTTTTACATGGGAAAATAGAGATCTCGACAGGCAAGGTGACACACCTAACTTTCCTCCTCAAGGCTTTGCTATCCATGAGGACCCGTGACAGCAACACATTGGGAGAGCTTTTAGTGCTTACCCAAGTGACTGGGCAAATTATTTCAATCAAAGATCATTGCATATAAGATTACTAGTAATTTAGAGCACCAAGCATCTGAGCTCAAATCTTACCACAAGGAACAATCTTTCACCAACTATTTATTGAGTACCTACTAAAGCATAGAAAAAGAACTCAGGATACAAAAGAGTCGATTCACTGCTCTTTACTTCAAGGAGTGGACTTAGCCAGAGGAGAATAGTTTCAAGGCCATCCAGGAGGCCACTGATAGAGCAGATGGAAGGAAGCTAGAGGAGGATCACAGAAAAGATTCTGGAGATCCATGATTTTAAAGGAGAAGTAGACATAGCCCAGGAGGTCAAAGGTTGGCAGGGATTCCTGCAGGAGGGACCATGCAAGCAAAACGGTGAAGATGTGAACTTGGGGATCCATTGAACTTTGAATGTGACCGAGAGTGGCAGAGTTGCTTTTGCTTATAACAGACCTCATATGCTGTCATAGGTGTTGGAAGAATAATTTTGGGGCAAAGGAAAGCCAGTGAAAAGTTATAAGGATGAATGTAACAGGATGGGACTTGAGTCTTTGCAGAAGATAAATGAGCTTCATCCATGCAGTCAAAGTCCTCTGTGTGCAGAGCTAAGGACTGTGACCAAGGGTTGGGCAAGACAAAAGAAGAACCATTTCCAATATGGTGGACAAACTAAGTGCTCTCCCATTACAAACATGTAACAATGCTGCCTGATTTATAATAACACCATTTCAAGTTATGAGAAGGAAGTCTCTGGGTGGCAGAAACAAAGAGGCGGCCAAAAGCCAGACAAGTGAGCTCATGAGCTAACTTCCAGGGACATTTAGACCTAGACCTAAACCCTCAAGGGTAGCAGCTGGGCTTTTAATGTCTAAGCAGGGATACGAGATGGGGTCTCCCTGCTGGCGCCCTGGGAGGAAGAAAAAAAATGTCTCAAGTGAAAATATCGAAATTGATCTGTGCCCTATGGAAGCATGGGGTCCAATTTTCACTACCTGTCATGGTGCCAAGAGGGCAAGCTAAGACACAAACATAAAAAGCCTCTGTGACACTGGCTGCAGAGAAGTGAAATCCCCAGGGTGCCGCAGAGAAGTGAAATCCCCAGGGTGCCCAAGAGAAGCAAACACAACTGCTCTTTAAGGATGCTTCGAGGAGCCAAAGCACACAGAATCCCCACAGGGAAAATGTTTCCTGATGATGAGTTCACAGTAAAAACTTGCAAACCAAATAAGGGACAGAGCTCCCCTAAGGAGGAGGCCTCAGGTCCAAGCAATGGGAGCTAGAACCCCAGGAACCTCAACTAACAGGACAGAGCAAGAGACTACTATATTATGTGATGAAGGAGATTAAATTTCTTCAAAGAAAGAAATCGAAGACTTGGAAAGGAAATAGGAAACCACGCTACTGATCAGATGCCTGCGTGCATCTGTTCTTATCTTCATTCATTCTTTTGAACCCCCATCTTTTGAACACCCTATTAAATGTACCACACATTGTCAGTGACCAAATGTGGCAAAGCTGGGAACACTGCCTACTAAGTGGAGGCAGAGGTGAACTTGAGGTTCTTGGCCTATGCCAATTAGTGGATGATGGTAGATGGGGAAGATGGTCAATGACCACATGTGCTTGGTGAGATAGGAGGGGATCAGCTTGGCCTTGGGCATTTGAGACCTCCCAATGAAGAGGTCGGGAAGCAGATGAAAAGAACATGACTGGAATTTGGCACAGAGGTCTAAATCTCTTCAAGAATTAAACCTGGGAGTCATTGGCAGGAGCAGCGTTGAAGTAACAATCCTAGAAGATTGCCAGATCCCCAGGAGATTGTGTCCACCCAAGTGCATAGCTCAGGTTCTCATTCAATGTCTAAGTAAAGAATACATCTACCGAGGGGGCTTAGGAGGAACCAGAGGAGAAGAGAAATCCACAAGGATGTAGTATCACAGAAGCCAGAGAAAAAGAGAAAGAATGTCTGTAAAGGCAGAAGGATGTTCAACAGAGCCAGGGCTGCTGGGGACCAGAAAGAAAGAGGATTAAAACATCCAGCAACTGGGCAACAGGGAGGCGATGGACGACCCTGGAGAGCTTGTTGGTGGAATGACGAGAGTGGATCCAGATGGATATGGGTTGAAGAACAAACGGGACAGAACCAGTTGGGAAGTGAAGAGAGCAGTGTGGACCTCTCTTTCAGGAAGCTGGCTGGGAGGAAAGAGCTCAGACAGCAGAGACAGAGTGAATGGGATGGACTTGAGCTTTTTCAATGGCCATGCAAGGGTCCACTTGAAAGAAAGAAGTCAGACATATAAGGAAAGACAAAGGAGCCTTGGTCAGGGGCTTCCCAAGGAGGACGGGGCAAAGTACAGGAGGACAGATTGGCTGTAGACCCTGGAGGGCTCCTCTGTGGGGTGGGGTGGGGCGGTGTACGTGATAAGGAGGCAAAAGCAGAGCTGAATGAACATAAGTGAAACTAAAAGTGATGAAGTTCTCTTCCTGTTCAATATGGTACGGCTTAGCTTGTTGGAAATTTAGACTAGGTTTCCTTCAGTGGGCAAAATTCACCAGGTTTTACTGAGTTTTGAAGGATAAAAAACCATCGTGCCTTGGAAACCCAGGGAGGATGTATGGGTGGAGGCTCCGTCCAGGGCAAAGGACTGGAGATGGAGATGGGAAGGAGCATGATGGGAGGCTGTGGTGCCTGCCTGCAGATGTCGCCAACCGGGTGCTGCTGTCCCTCTTCACCATCGAGATGCTGATGAAGATGTACGGGCTGGGCCTGCGCCAGTACTTCATGTCCATCTTCAACCGCTTCGACTGCTTCGTGGTGTGCAGCGGCATCCTGGAGATCCTGCTGGTGGAGTCGGGCGCCATGTCGCCCCTGGGCATCTCCGTGCTCCGTTGCATCCGCCTCCTGAGGATCTTCAAGATCACAAAGTGAGCAAAGAGCCAGTGTTCCTGCGCTGGGAATCCAGGGCTTCTGGCCCCCAGGCAGCCCTTCCCCTGTGCATCCCATCCCTCCAAGCCATTTTTCCCAAGCCCACCCATCCCCCTGGGAGTGCTGGTGAGAGGACTCTGCCTCCTCCCCACCCGGTGCACTGCCCCTAAGGTACTGGACATCGCTGAGCAACCTGGTGGCCTCCCTGCTCAACTCCATCCGCTCCATCGCCTCCCTGCTGCTGCTGCTCTTCCTCTTCATCATCATCTTCGCCCTGCTGGGCATGCAGCTCTTTGGGGGAAGGTACGACTTTGAAGACACCGAGGTGCGGCGCAGCAACTTTGACAACTTCCCCCAGGCCCTCATCAGCGTCTTCCAGGTAGGCCGTCCGTCTGCACATCTCTCTTCCTGGGCAGTTACTGAATCCTGCTTCCTGTCCGTAAAGATCAGGACAGGCACCACCTTCTCTGGGAATCCCTTTTGGATCTGCTGGTGTCCTCCTCTGGTCTTTCCCATCCCCTGTACTTCTTGCCACTGTCATGCCGGCTGGCCTGTGTCCTCAGTGGGGCTGGGCCCAATCTGTCTGATATTTCTTGGTCCCTGGTCCTTGCAGAGAGGTAGGTAGGATAACAGATGATGAGTGACTGGAGTTAGGGTGCGCTGGGAGTTCAGAGGCGTGCAGCTCGTGTCTCTGAGGACAAAGCCAGACAAGTCAGGTACTCCCTGCCCACCCTGGGAAAGCCCGAGGGATGCATGAAACATTGCTCACTGGGGAGGCATGGCTCTGCCACCTGTTCCCTAGGAGCCACCAAAGGGAGTGTGTCTGTAACCCAGTGAGAAGCCCTCAGAGCCACTGCCTCCCACAGAGCTAGCCCAGTATAATGTAGGAAAAACTCCTTTCAGTTATAGCTGGTACCTCTCAGGTAACACCTCCTGTTGTGCCAGCCAGAAGGGTGGTGTGTGACAAGCAGTTGGTCTTTTGGACGGCTCCACTTTCTCTTTCTTCCATTCACCCCACTGGCTGGTCAGACATCACGGCTTTCAAGGGACCTGCTATTTCACACCATTTCTGGGATGACAGGGGGCCTGGCTGGTGCCATCCAGTTTAGCCTGGAGGTTGGGAACAAAACTGGGAAAGGGACCCCTTCATCAAACTCCCTGGCCCTGCAGAACTGGACGAGATGCTATTAACAGAGGCAATGGGGAGGGCAGGGACCAGTCACCTGTGCCCTGGGATGAAGAGGACATACTGGGGAGAATGACGGAGTCAGAAGAGGCCTTTTGAACCATGCAGTCCCTACGGAAGACTCTCGGGTCTGTATGCCCACCCTCTCATCTCCTCGCTCCTCCCTCTCCCCCTAGGTCCTGACAGGGGAGGACTGGAACTCTGTGATGTACAACGGGATCATGGCCTATGGGGGGCCGTCCTACCCCGGCGTGCTTGTGTGTATTTATTTCATCATCCTTTTCGTCTGTGGCAACTGTATCCCCTTGGGTGCAGGGTGCAGAGAACTTAGGGAGGGGTCAAGAGTGCCCACTTACAAGGCAGCCAGGCCCTTTGGCTGGAGGGGAGGTCCTAGCTCATGAAGTGGGGGGATAGGACAAAGCAAGGGCAGGTGTGGCTATGGGATGATTCCTCCCAATAGAAAGGTTTGAGGACCATGGCAGGAATGATTGGTCATGGGGAGAAACTGACCTCAACCAGCCTGGAGCAGGTGGGAGGAAGCACAGGGTTTAGCGGAGGAGCAGTACAGATGGTGGTCCCCAGGTAGTAGCCTGGTGCAGGAGCTGAGATCAGTTATGGCAGGAAATGGATAGGATTTAAAGGCCGTGGTGGATTCAGAACCCCTCATGGATACCCTCTGCAGCTAGGCTTCTCGGAGGGCCCTGACCTGTGTCCCTGAGCTCACACCCTCTCTAGCAAGGGACATTCCACTACCCCAGCGGGCGTTAGGTCCTGTCAACACAGGCAGAGGCTTCCTTTCACCCCAACCCAAGGTTCTTTAGCTCGGCTCTCTCAGACATACTGCTCAATGTCTTCCTGGCCATTGCTGTGGACAACCTGGCTGAGGCGGAGAGCCTGACTTCTGCCCAGAAGGCCAAGGCCGAGGAGAGGAAACGCAGGAAGATGTCCAAGTGAGTTCTGTATCTTCAGCAGGAGGGAGCTGGAGCGCTGGGCCCCGGTACTGGCCTCCATCTGGGGGAGGGGGTTTTCCCTGGAGCCAAATGATGAGGGGCCATGTGGCCTCTCCCTTAGGCCCACTCCTATAGCTAGGACAGCCAGGGTTGCTGCAGTCCTGTGAGTCATTTTGGGGGCAGGACTAGAGGCGGGATGGCCTTCTACACAGGCCTCAGGAAATGTGATGGCAGAACCTGGTGCATTGGGCCAGGTGACCCGCATGAGGGCTTCTGGGATTTCTCCTCCCAGCCCTACTACTCTTGGAGGGAATCGTCCTTTACTGAACCTCAGGCACCTTCCATCTGTGAAGTGGGTGTTGGCTTCTCTGGACCTCCTGAGGGCTCTCCATTTGGGATGTCATGTCACTCTCTGTAGCCTGGGACTCTCCTCTGGGAGTAGAAGTAGGACTGGTCTAGACAGTATTTCTCAAACTCAAACTACAAATGTACCACCTGGGAATTTTGTTAAAATTCAGATTCTGTTTCAACTGGTCTGAACCAGGTTGGGTGGGTCAAGGTTCTGCATTTCCAGCAAGCTCCAAGGTGGTGCCAACCCTGCCTGTCCCTGGAGGGCCACACTGGAGTAACTAGGTTCTGGATGGAGCCCTGCTTCTCCCAATGCCCAGGCCTGCTGGAATGGAGTGCCCATTCCTGTGGACAAAACATGGGAAGAGGAGGGGAAAGAGAGAACAGCAGTAGAGTCCAGACATTTAGAAAGCTTAAAACCATCTTGGACAAAACACTTCCATGAATTTTGTATGAACTAAGTACAAAGCCACTTTCCACCCATTCACTATCAACAAACACTGAATCTAGCTGACCAGTGAGCCTCAAGCCTGAGCTGTGGATCATGGCCTCTCATCAGAGAAAGGGCTTGCCCAGGTCCACCACCATCCCACTTGGTAGCCAGTCCTTCACCTTCCTGCACAAAGACCCCCTGAGCCCTTGGTGTGGGATCCTTCCGAGGGAATTTTCAGGCTGAGAAGACCCCTGACGACTGTCTGGTTGGGACTCCACCTCAGGTTTCCTTGGTTTTCCAACCCAGGGGTCTCCCAGATAAGTCAGAGGAAGAGAAGACCATGATGGCCAAGAAGTTGGAGCAGAAACCCAAGGGTGAGGGCATTCCCACCACCGCCAAGGTGAGACCTCATATGAGGTGCTTTACAGGCTACATGGAGGGGTTCTGAAAGCCCCCTGGTTTCCTCCATGCCTCAGGGCATTAGTGGGGCAGGAAGGGGAGATGGAAGAGAGGTAAGGGCTCCCCTGCATTCTGTTGGGGGGAGGACTGGTGGATGCATGGGCTCCAGGGAATCCTGTACTGAGAGGCCGGGGCCTTCCAATCAGGGAACCAGGCTTCCTCACAGTTCCAGCTTCCTGTCCTAGAGCAAGGGGTTTCCACCTCCCTAAGACACCCATGCCTCCTGAGAGGCTGGACTGACTCCCCACCAGTCCTGCCCTGCCCGTTTCAGCCTGGCATGGTTTGACATTCCCAGAGACTAAGGAAATGGAGTTCAAGGAGTTAGGGAACTGGGCTCAGAGGGGCTGGGAAGCCTGGTCTGGGGAGTCCATCTCCACTGTTGAACCCAACAGAGGACACAGGCTGGGACAAGTGTGGGCCTTGACTGTGTCTCATGGAGGCAGGACAAGTTGCCTGACCTTGCTGGGCCTGGGCTCTGGTCTGTAGGTCAGGGATGACCACAGTAGCGCCTGTCCCTCAGGCTACAGAGGATTATGGAGGTTGAATGCTACGCTGGTCCCCAGCATGTGCTCAGGACATGCAACTGCAGCTGTGCTTTGCCATCTTCTTTATTATGTTCCTTCCTACAGCTGAAAATTGATGAATTTGAATCTAATGTCAATGAGGTGAAGGATCCCTACCCCTCAGCGGACTTCCCAGGTGAGGATCTTCGAGCCTAGGCTGGAGCAGGGTGATGGGATTAAAGAGGCATATGCTGGTGCCACCTTTTCCCCACTTTTCCCCATGGGCAATATTTTGGGTGTCCCCTACTCAAATTCCTCCATATGGAGGTCAGGACCAGGGAGACGTCCCTTCCTCACCCAACCTTGCAAATAAGCCATCTATCTGCCAGCTCACCTCTCCCTACAACACACACAGTAGAAAAATTCACACGTCTTATTTGTGTTTACCTCTGCAAGTTTTTATTGAGTGCTGAATGCATGCTTCAGTGCTGAGGACCTGGTTTGGAAAGCACAGAGACTGGTGGGTACATATGACCTTCCTAGTAGTCACACAGAATGGACCCTCAATGAGAGCACGCACACCCATCCATGTGTGGCACTGTGTGGAATCCAAAAGGAAAAGATGAAGGGAGGATGGGAAGAGTGGATTACACACAGCTATGGATGAACTTTGAGCATCTAAATGCACATAACCAGAAATCCTATTCATCTGGACCAAGGAGAAGACACATGGAGGAAGCTGAATCAGGCTGGATTAATCCTAAAAGTCCACCTGGAAGAGTCCTGGTATCCAAAAGCTCCCAGGCTTTGCTCAGCTCACTCATGGGTCCTATAGAGCACTGAGTCATGGGTGCAATTTTTTGTCTCTTTGTGGAATCAGCCAATGACCATCTGCTCCAATGACTCTAAGCTCCATGGGGAAGTTTTGGGTTCTGGGTGGCACAGTGTTTGACACAGAGTAGATGCTCAGTAAAATGAATGAGTGAATATATGCAAGGATTTTGAGAAATGAAATGTGGGTTGAATGGAGATGGTATAGTAAGACTGATAAAATGTTCTTCCAGTATCTACCAGAAATAAAGATTGGAGTTTTAGAATAATTCATCTGGAGTTGTCTCACCTCACAGGTGTCATCTATTAGAAGGGGGTGGCTAGAGAGCGGGTGGAGACTGGCTGACATAGGAAAGTTGAGGGGAACTGCAGAGGAGAAGGAGGGCAGGGAGAGTAGGCTGGATGCTTGGAGGAGAGGTCTTAGCAAGAAGAGGGATTGTGTTTATATCTACCTTCTTTCTAAAAATAATTCAAGCTGGGCACCTGCGATCTCAGGGGCTCAGGAGGCAGGACGCAAGTTCAAAGCCAGCAACTTAGCAAGGCCCTAAGCAACTTAGGGAGACCCTGTCTCAAAATAAAAAAAATAAAAAGGGCTGGGGATGTGGCTCAGTGGTTAAGCGCCCCTGGGTTCAATCTCTTGTACCAAAATAATTAATTAATTGATTTTAAAAAGAATTTGAAATGGCCTACAACAAAAGATACGTGCACAAAAGGAAATAAGTTGGGCACAGACAACAGAAAAGAGAATTAGAAGGGAGAGGAGGCAAAGATGCTACCAGATGCCAACTCTAAGAATTAATAGGTCTCTATAATTAAGCAGAAAGTGTGCCCCTGGGGTCCTTGCCAGCCCAGGCAGGACAGGAAATGTCGGGTTAGGACACACATTCAGAGGAAGAAGCAAGAGTTCTCTCTAGTTTCTCAGGAGTGGAGGGGAGAGAGAATCGGATTTGGATGGATGAGACCCTCAGGCGTCTTCAATGGGGAGACCAGAATCCAGAATCAGGGTCTCACTGAGTTGCACTGAGGGTCTCTGCCAGGGCAGGTGGGAGAAAAGAGAAGGTGGAGGGTGAGGGGACCCCTCTTCCAGCACTCTCCCTGCTTAGCACAGCCCCAGCGCCATCCCTGGGACCTCCTGCCCTGGAGCAGAGGACTTCAGGCCCTCAGCTCCCCCTAGAGGCCGTGAGACCTTGGACGTGCTGTCAGTATCTGTATCCTCCTCTCCTTCCCTCCCTCCTCCACCCCAGTACCTGCCCTGGTCCTGAGGTTGTGCTGCAGCTCAAGAAGTGTTGGTTGCTTTCTTTCTTTCTTTCTTTCTTTTTTTTACATACAGGAAGTTCCTCTCTCAAATTATTATTTTTAGAATCCTAGAAGAGAGACCGCTGACTCCATTTATTCTAACAACTTTCCTGCCCCTGGTCAATTTCACAAAAAATTTTTTTTTGTTATTTTTGTTGTTTCGATTTTTGGTCCTGAGGATTGAATCCACTGAGCCACATCCCCAGCCCTTTTGATTTTTCATTTTGAGACGGGGTCTCACTGAGTTGCTTAGAGCCTCGCTAAGTTGCTGAGGTTGGCTTTGGACTTGTGATCCTCCTGCTTCAGCCTCCCAAGTCACTGGGATTGCAGGCCAATTCCACAAATTGGAAAGCCCCTGGGGATGTAGCTCAGTGGCAGAACACTTGCCTAGCGTGTGCCAGGCCCTAGGTTCAATCCCCAGCACCATGAAAAAGAAAATAATAATAATAATAAAAAGAACAAATTGGGAAGCTGAAACTCAGGAAGGGCACAGATTTGTTTAGCACTGCACAGCAAGCCAATGGCAGAATGAGGACAGAATTCAAGTCTCCTGAAGCAGCCTCTCACCCCGTTCCCAAGCTACTATGCATTGATGGTGTTGATGATCCAGTCTTGAGACAGAAAGAGCAGCAAAAAAGCTCCTGGGCCTATTCCTGGATCTACTCCCAGAATACTCTGGATCCGCCCCACAGACCCCTGACAGCTCAAGTCTGCTCCCTGCAGAGCAAGAGAGATACCTAGGCTAGTCCCTGCTAATGTCCTAGAGTCCCATATTGGCTTCCCACCCACTTTGCTTGCTGGCTGCAGGGACCCCTAGGAGGGCTCTGAGCACAGAAGCTAAAGATGAAGCAAAGTTTGGGAAGACACCCCTAATATCTCCCCCTCTCCCCACAGGGGATGACGAGGAAGATGAGCCTGAAATCCCAGTGAGCCCCCGACCACGCCCCCTGGCCGAGCTACAGCTCAAAGAGAAGGCAGTGCCCATCCCAGAAGCCAGCTCCTTCTTCATCTTCAGCCCCACCAATAAGTAGGTGGTCCCTTGGCTGCTGTGTGGGGTGACCCATGGGACTCCCAGAGAGAGCCATTCTCTGCCCTTAAAAGACCTTTTCTTATTTCTCCATGCCTACAGCTGCACTGAGAGAAGCTCATTCCTTTAGCTTAACATCTTGTGCCCTGTTCAGGATGCTGGGGTGGGCATCAGTGGTAGAGTGCTTGCCTGGCACTTGCGAGGCCCTAGGTTTGACTCCCAACACTGGGGGTGGGTTGGGAGGAGGACTTAAAAAATAAGTGACCACTATCAGTTACACCTAGAAGAACCGCGTTTA